TATACCCTGAATGAGATTGAAGCGTTGATCATAGAAGTTCAAGGAAAAGTTCACAGAAGTTAAAGTGATGGTAAAAACAAAAGCTGAGACCAAGGAGAAAAAGAACAAAATGAAAAAGTTGCATAGCAACGAAAAAGTATAAAAAGGTTAAGAAGAAGAAGAAAAAGAAAAAGTATGAATAGAAAGGAAAAGACTAAGTGAGATTGTGTCTGAGTAGGGAACAACTGAAAATAAATAGTTGTGTTTCAATCTCATGTACAATAAAAAGTAGCCATTTTCCCAGATATTCCTACCCTAGCCTAACCCAAGTTATAACCCTAGAAAGACATTTGGATCTAATTGTGCATGTTTTACATGTTCCTCATCTTTAGGAACTTGAGAATAGGATCAAGCTTATGGTAGTCTTATTTCACTGATGGATTGAGAGTTTAAAACCAATACACAAAAGTGACAAGTGCAGTGATTATCCTGGTAAAGAGTGATTGAGCTATATTCTAATTCTTTATACAAAAAGTGATTCCTGAAATTCTCAACTTTGAATTCACTCATGCATAGAATTATAACTCTAAATCTCTTCAATGTAGAAAATTGCATTAGTGACATAAATTCCTCTCACACAGCTTATCATTGATGCCCAATGTTTGATCTTATTTATTGCTGGGGACAACAATATTTAAATTTGGGAATTGTTTGATGTGCCTTCAGCATATAGATATTGCAGAGTACAAATAATAAGGATTTTACAGTAATTCAGTGATAAAAAGTATTATTTTTGAGGAATTATTGATAATCCATCTTTTGGCACACTTTCACTTTAATTGTATATTTTTACAGAGGAAAGCAGAAAATAAAGAAGAGCCAGCCACTGCCTTTTCACGCTGTTAGCCTGAAATTCACGCTAATAGCGTGAACATTAAAAAACTCCACGCTAGTAGCACCATTTTCATGCCAATGGCGTCAAGAGAGGTGATTCACTGAGTTTTCACGCAAATGGCTTGAAACTCACGCTAACCGCGCCACATGCCATGCTAGCCGCGCCATGATGATGATAAAAGTTCACGCCAGTCATGCCGCCAAATGAAGGAGCCTCTGCAATTTCACGCTAAAAGCGTGGTGTCCACGCGGTTCGCGCCAAGAACCATCCTTCTCCACTGCTCGCCCGCACGGATCTAGCGCTGATCGCGCGGGCATCGTGATTTCAGTATGATTGCAAATTGGGATAAAAACGAAAAGAAAAATTAAATCTTTGATACGATTCTGACCTGATTGGATTACTGCTTATAAAAAGAAGTCAGAAACCAAAGTAAGAGAACTTTTGCATGGAGAAGAATACGGTAGCAGAGATCGAAGCAAGCGTTTGGATTGAAGATTGAAGCTTTCTTCTTCTCCAATTTTTTTGGTTATTGTTTTATTCATGAATTCTTTTTCATACATTAAATTGTCAGACATGAATATGTCTGACTAGTCTTTTATTATTGTGGTAAGGGTCACAACCCTTGATGTGAATCCCTTGTAGTTTGGTTAATTTTTATATTTAATTATTTCAATTGCATTTATTTTACCTTGTTCTTCATCTTCTAATTCTTTTAGAACTGATCACTCTTTTAGGATTGCGAGTGCTAGGGTTTTCAATAGGAATATTGAGATTCTAGTTCCTGACAAAGGGTAAAATAACAATTCATGTATGCACTAGGGATAGGCTACATGAATTACAAACGTGGAAAATTCACTGGTTTAAAAGGATTAACTTGAAAAGGAATTTCTAAGGGATTAGGATTCTAATAGGGTTAATAAAGTTAATATCACTAAGGAATTAGGGCTTAACTAATCAATTAACAAATGGTGAATTGTTTGATCAATGGGTAATTAAATGTAAACATTAATTAATATTGCAGGTGGGGATCATAAAGGCGTTGGCGTCTTTTACCGCAATATTCTTTTAAACATTTTTCTCAATCTTAATCTGTTATTCTTAAGTTTTCAAAAGCATCTTTGAATTATTCATCAGTCTTGAATTATTCGCAATTTTTACAAATCACAATTATTCTCAAACCAATTTATTCATCCAACAAGAGAGGGATAGTTAAAATAATTTTGGTGCCTCAATCCTCGTGGAGACGATACTCTACTTACCATTTTATTACTTGGAACGATCGGTACACTTGGCGATTTCGCAACAATACAGAAAGCTTGGATTTTGGTATTAGTTTCAAGGGTCCTGTGGGGTAATATATTTGCCCCATATCTCAACAAGTTGAATCTTCAACATCCCGAGATATTACTCATGTTGTTCTGACTCAAGTTATAATTGAATTTGGATTGCATTTATTCCCTGTTGACAAGTTGCCCTTGAGTCCATCCTTTAACAACTCGGTTTGAATATTCAATGTAAAGCTTACCATCATTTGCTGCGTGAGGAAGCTCATTTATAGGAACCTAGCTCCAGGTTCCTAAGATCCCAGTCGTTTGTGAGATTATAATCTTGGGATAAAACTTATTTTATTGTAGCGTTGATGCAATCTTTACATGTGGTAATTTTTGCATTCATTAGCATGCTGCAACCAACATATGTCCTGTTCGTATTTCGTGTGCATTGAATGCAAAAATCATTTCAGCTATCTAATCATTGCTTTTTGGAGGAATTCGCCCTTTTGTTCCAATATGTTTGTGTTGCAATAACATTATATCTTGCTAGCACATATATAGAAAATGTTATATCAAGTCATGTAATATTAGCAAGATACACACAAGCCCCATATGCAGTTAAATGTGATACTTCAAGACCAAGTACTTTTTCATAATATTTTTTATGACAAAAATAATTTTTCTCAATGCTAAGAGATCAAACAACCATGTTGAACTCAATTGATGAGTTTTGTTAATGTAAAATAGTTTAATATCTTCTCTATATAATTTGATTAATGAACAAATATTTCAGTTAGATAACTGCTCGATCTGCTGTTGAGACAAAATTTATTTACTCCAAATTTTTTCATTCACATTCATTCTATAAATATTTTGCAGTTTTCTTTCAAATTCATTCAGATATTGATCTTTTATTAATAACAAATAGACTCATGGAGTTATTTGTCAATTCTTATTTGATAATGCCCAAATCACCATGTACCACATTTGTGCATATTATCTTAAGTCCATACAAAACATTTGTAATCTTATGGAATACAACTCTTGTGATTTTAATTTATATTCTTCGGGAACTTTTAGTTCTATTGGGACTTATATGTCACTATTAAATAATTCATATAATTAAACAATAATAATACCCATAATTGAAGTGCCCCACGTTGTGTTGGTATATGCTAGAAAGCTGGACAAAGTTAAAATGGTGACTTTGGGTTAAGAATAATGCAAGATAAATCGTTTTTATACGTAAGAAAAATATATTGAGTAAATATACCATTTCTTCCAAAAATATACTCTTTTTTTTTAGTTTACATATTTTTTTATATTTAAATTGATCTTTGAATGAATAAATTTATTAGCACATTTACAATTTTGATAAGATAGATTTTTTTTTTGCAAATCAACAATTTTTTTGTTGTTATTGACCATAATTATTTTTTTGAAATGGTCGACCCTGGGATGCAAATTAAAATTTTAATAACTAAAGTAATACAATTAACATATTTTAGAAACTAAATTATATATTCACTCAAATATATTTATGTTGAACGTGATATATTTGATAAGATTGATAATGAAGATATAAAACTATTTTTAAGGAATGGAGAATCGAAGAATATTTTTGCAATCGTTCTATTGTAATAGCTTAGTTGACTCTGAATTATTATTATTTTTTCTGTTAAGTTAAAATTTTCTTTTCTTTTCTTTATATTCTTTTATTTTTTAGTGCATTTAAAATTTTCTTTGAATTTTTTTTTATATATTTTATCAAGATGAGCTAGTATGTGCATAATGGGAAGAAACAAATGGGGAGCGATACTACTTATTGAGTTCGAAGAGAATAGCCAAAGCTAGTGTCCTACACATTTTGTCCATATAAATAAAAAAGCAATTTGATTTGTTTTTAGATTTAGATGCATAGCTTATTTATTTTTTTACGATTGCTTTGACCGGTACTTCCCTTCTAACTAAAGCCGTTTTCATTCAACCTTTTTTAATTGCCAGCATATCATGTTGGATATTAATATCATGCAGGGAAAGATTCGTTTACAAACTTTATTTATAAATTATATTAAGTATGATCGGTCATACACTTTTACTTGATTGAAGTATGACCGATCATACTTAATTTAGTGTAGTTTGTAAGAGTTTGTAAATATATCTTTCCGCATATCATAAATCAACATGCTCACGGCTGTAGTGGGATGAAAAAATTGCAAATAAGTAAGCTACAACGTGGGTATCTAACTGTCTTCAAAGCTTTAACTTAATCCATAACAGAACCTGACATAAACTGATAATATTGAATTGAAATTCAATTATCTATATATTATGAAACAAATTTGTCACGCTGAATATAAATGAATGATTTTATTATACTTATTATTTTTTTTAAAATATAACATTTGTAGCTAAGAGATGAACAAAGGGTGATGTTCAAATATCCATACAATAATGGGGAGGGACTTTTCTCCTTAATTATAGGTCTGGGTTTGAATTTTGGTAGAGTCATTTTATATGGATTTAACTGTGCTCGAATTAAATTAAATTATATAATTAATAAACGTGTAAAAAAAAAAAAAATCCTTTTTTAGATAAATCATAAATATTTTTCCAAATGCAACCATGTTCGAGCAAGAATATCAATATCATATTGGAATTAGCTCTTCCAAAAAAAAAAAAAATTCTTCATTCACAACCAAAAATAATAGGTAATAAGGCGACATTTAAAAAAAAAAAAAAAAAAAAAAAGCCACAAAACAAATCTCTGCAAATAAAAATTGATTCGGATATGAACCAAGTAAAAAAAAGACTTTTTGACAGTTGAACAGCAAAACCAGTAACTAACAAGAATACTAGTCTAAAAGGTCATCAAAAAAGGAGAAGTTGTCCAAGTATGTTGTAATTCCCCAAACTCTGACAACACCATCAGAATAGCCACCGAACAAAGTGTTCCCATCTGCACTCCAACTCAAGCTTGTACAGTATATAGACTCATCATCATTCCCCTCCTCATTAATGTCGATAGGAACATTCAAATCCTGGAGAATATCCTCACTCACCAAATCCCATATTCTGATGCTTTGGTCAGTGGCAGCACAGAGCCAATGCCTAGTGGGACAGAAGCACAGTGCATGAACGTTGGATTCAACATACAAAGAGAAAAGCCTCTTTCCCTCATCCAAGTCCCATATCGGAATAACACCATCATCCCCACCACTCGCGCAAACAGACCCATCGGGTGAAACAGCAATGCAGTTAACATAGCCAGTACTGTGGCCATCATCATCAAGGTTGTGCCTCAGCTCAATCTTATTAAACTTCAAATCCCAAACTTTAACAGTGCCATCCCTTGAACAAGAAACAAGACTCTCATGCCCGAACCTGACGCAGTTCACCCAATCGGAGTGGCCATCTCCTTCTTCGTCTCCGTCTTCTTCGTCTCTCTCTTCAACGGTGTACTTGCACTCGCCGCGAATGTTCCAGAGTTTGATCGTGCGGTCGCGAGACGCCGACGCAATCTGACGGTCGTAATCCATGGAGAACGCAACGGAAAGCACTTCCTTTTTGTGGCCGATGAAGCGGCGGAGGGAGGTGCCGTTGGCGAGGTCCCAAAGACGGAGTTCGCCGTCACAGGAGCTGGAAAGAGCGTATTGTGCGTCGGAGGAAAGGGTGACATCCTGAACGCAGCCAGAATGGTCGGTGAGCCAGAGACAGGGGACACCGTAGTCGCCGTCGAGATGATTGGTAAGATCCCATACGATGATCGATTTGTCACGCGATGATGTTACTATTATCTCTGAGTTATTGATGTCCATTGGAGTAGCAATGGCTGTCACCATGGCAGTGTGACCATGCATTGTTCCGCAAAACTCAAGATCCTCTGACATTATTCTCATTTTTTTCTTTCTTTCTCTCTCTTTCTGCAATTTTCAGGGTTTGGAAATAATGTCACGAAGTCTAATACTTATTTATAGTTATAGATGGATGAGGAATCCTAATAAAAAAAGGAATCCAACATGATAACAAGATAAAGCGCCAATCCTTGTTTAAAAAAAGGAAAGCTAATGAAAAACAAATCAAATCATGTTAATCCTTATTTACAAATAATGAAATCATAACGGAAAAATAAGTCAAATTCAAATAGAGATATGAACGCTGAGAAATCTTTTACGATGATTTAAATTATTTTAAAATATAATCTTAATATTATAAATCTTTTTTATTTTTAAGCATAATTATAAATTCCATATTTATAGAATCCTATCAGTTAGGTTACTTTAAATTTTGTTAAGATATAATCTTAATGGTACATGTTATATTTACAAACTTTTTTGTTTACAAACTACACTAAGTATGTGATAAACCTTTAGTTTATCTTATTTTATAGACTAAATTAATATAAAATATCAAGTTAAATAAGTCAAAAACTAGGGTTTAATATAATAATCATGAACATTATCTGAATTTTTGTTTAATGGAATCATCTTTGCTATTTTTTAGGGATTTGTTGACAAAAGGAGTCAAAGATGAAGATTGGATAAATAGAGATCACAACTAGAAAAGATGAGATCAAGAGATGATAGAAGAAGATCAAAAACAATAAGATTGAAGATCTTATCAAGTTGTTAGAAGTGGGAGCTTAAGCCCCCATTCAGAAGCTTAAGCTCCCTAAAAACGCAAATAGCTACTGCCTCTGGGCGCTTAAGCCCCCAACTCAGGGCTTAAGCGCGCCACAAGAAGAAAAAGTTGTCGCGAGGAGCGCGCTTAAGTTCCCTTCAGAGCGCTTCAGCGCCCAACGCGAGTCAGAATTCACTGTCCTAGGGCGCTTAAGCGCGCTACAACAAGCTTAAGCGCCCAGACAGATCCAACTTAGGCCCATTCGAGTTTTCTACTAGGATACGAACTCTTGGCCAATAAAAAAGCCATTGGGGAACAGAAATAAAGAACTTTTACATTGCTAAACAACTCTTAGGTGCTTGGAGGCTGAAGGAACGCGGAGAAACATCAGATTCATGTTCGTGAGCGGCGGAGACAGATCAACGTCAAGTGTTCACTGGAGATTTTGAAGATCCACCAATCACCTATGGAGTTTGGGGGAGCCTTTCTATTTTCTTTTGTTCTTGATTTTGCTATGTCCGGCTAGTTCTTTAAGTAGTTAGGATTAGATGGATTTTAGTCAATTTATTATGTTTTGAACAATTCGCTGTGTTAATTTTCCTTTATATCATGAATGAAGTTATCTGTTTTTAATACTTTATATAGGCTTGAATCTTATATAATGATCATCGGTGAATACATGACAATAGGAATGTTGGTGTGTGATCCATATCTGATAACTTCATCGTAAACGTTATGATTCTAGGGATAGACATAGGGTTTGCGTAATCTTTAAGATTCTTGAATTTAATGTTTGCATGCTTGGGGAATAACCGGGGAACTAGGGTTCTTCCAATATTGTAAAGGTTTTAGAGTAACAAGGGATTGAGCTCTAATAACATGCGAAAGAATTGATTAGATTGATACTAAGGACAATTAACATTAAGAAGGAATTCAAACGTAATAAGGAGATTAAATGAAATCGAACCCCTAGCTACGTTTTTATTTTATTAGTTAAATCACATCTTTAATTTCTTGTCTTTAATTCTTGCAAGTAATTAGCTTAATATTTAATATTTTAATTTTGCAATTCAAATCCTGTTTCCAAATACACTTTCGATTGTCCAACTAAGTTTGCGATAGTGAATTAGTGCTTGAACCGTAATCCTCGTGGGAACGATCTCTTACTTAATCATATATTACTTGTACGATCGGTGCACTTGCCGTGAGTAGCAACAGTATGACCGGTCATACTTTAATTATACAGTATACGACCGATCGTACTTAGTATAATTTGCAAAAAAAAAATTGTAAACGGATCCTATCCCAATCTTAATATTTTTTAATTTTTTTGATTTTTTGATTTTTTACCCTAATTATAGAATCCTGAAATTGTATTATGATTTTGAACTCAATCTTGAGAATTTTTTTGTGTATTTTAAATTAAGGATATGATATGATATGATATTATGTTTTCTTTTTTCTTCTCTGCCCACCGTTTGATCACAACTCTTTTATCCTTTCTCTCTCCTCCCACTTTCACCCTTTTACTTTTTATTTTCTAATTTATAGTTCAATTCCACATTATCAATGTAGGATCGGGTCTCATTTCAGTTTGTGTCCTATACTCTATGCAGAAACCCATCCCCACACACACACCCCAAGGGGAGAAGTGTTTGTGAAGCTATCCTTCAGAAAAATTAAAGAACAGATTTAACAAGAGCAACAACAGTAAAAATTTATCATTGTCAAATGCAGATGGTGAAGTATAGATTTACAATAGAAAATTGATAAAGAATTAGACTATTATACTGTCCAAGTATAATGACATTTTAGAAATAACTTACAAGTTACCAACCAAACAATTTTTCCTTCCTGGAAAATAAAAGTACGATCTGTATTTCTGTCATCTGTAGGGCAAAAAATAGATGTATAGAGGGGATCAAATCATGTTTCAATATGGGCCTAATATTATGAAATGAATAGTGCTTAATAATAGAGGTCAGAAAAACATATGAAAGAATTCTGCCTTAATTTAAGACTCAATGCTGGTGTTGGGGTAAGATAAAGTGACAGAGACCACTCAGCGATTCAACATGAATAAGAATGTCAACTTATTTAAACTCTTGTTATCTCAAATCAAATTCTCACTGTTCTTAACTAACATTCATTGGTTGGAAGCTCAACCTTGCAATTCAGCAATGAAAGAATGTTAATTGATCACTTGGATCTTAATTCTTGGTCAGTTCAATCTTTGATTTCTGTAAGCAATTTTGAACAATCAAAGACGAGCAGCACTATTAAAGAAAGTTACATTTGAAAATCATGATAAAAGCATAATAAAACCAAATCACTGACTCTCCCTCTTCTTTCATCACAAAACACTGTGAAATGAAATCACAAGTTGATGATGGCAGCAGAGATATTCATTAACCAGTCACTGAAAATTTACTGAAAAAGACAAGAGCAGGCCTCAAAATTCATCAGGGTCAAACACATTTTCCTCATCATCAACGTGCACAACTTGACGGGTGTTGTCTTGCACAGCCAGAACATCACTGACGCCATGAACAACAACCTTGTCATTGAAGAATATATCCGGAAAGAAAACCGGAACTCCGTTCAGAATCAAAACGCCACCGGATCTCGTGATGTTGATACTGTACCCTTCCAAGAACGTCGGCAGTTCCGATCCATCAGTGTAATCCACCAGATTGTTCCACAGAAGCTTGCAGGGAACAACATGGCGACGAAAGAACGAAGGGTGCTCTCCCAAATCCCCAATATGGTTCAGCACCACTTCATCCGTAGGAGCAAACACTGTGATTCCACTATGATCCGCCACGCCGGAGAGTTGCATTCCGAGAAACGAAGCCATGGCAGAGTACCCGCCGGATTTTAGGGTTTCAACGGCTTGATCGAAGGAACTCACAGTGTTGTTATTCACTGCACACGAGGGATTAGGATTGGGATTGGGGTTAGGTCTCTGATTGGAATCTGTGTACTGAAAATTGGGATCGAAGAACCTTTCGATTCCGTAGACTAGGAGAAATCCGTCGTCGTAAATGGGCGATTCTGTGATTCTGATGTTGTTGAGAGAGGTTGCGCCCTCGGAGGTTGACGCGGTGACGGTCAGAGACTGGCCGGCGAGCATCGTCGGGATGTTGGAGCCGGGCAGGAGCAGCCGGAGACTCAGCGGCGGCAGCGGCAGGGGAGAGAGGTGGAAGCGGAGGAGATCGAGGGATGGCTGACCGGATTTCTTGAATGCGGAATCGGAGGGAGCGAAGACGGTGGCGGAAGGGGACGGTTCGAGAAGGGTTTTGGCCACGATTTCCAACGTGAGTGCCATTGAGACGAAGCCTGAATCGGAGAGAACATCTGCGGCGTCCAAGATGGCTTCGCGTGGAAGAGCACGGCATAGAGAGAAGGAGGAGGAGAGAAGAAGGAGGAACACAAGCGTGGACGCCATTGATGAACCTCGAGATTTGGCGGGAAATGGAGATTTAAACGTGGCGTTCTGCTATTGGAGATGACATCCAAGTAGTTAAAGAGATCGTTAGTCGTTTCGTTTGAAAAGACGGAAAGGCCCCCTGAATCTTCTTTTCTCTCTAATATAATTATGGAACTCAAATCTACTGTATTAATTATTATTGTTTTTAAAAAAAAAATCAAGTTCCATATATCTCCTAACCTAAACAAATCTTGTAGATTATCTTATAGTTTCATGTTATAATACTCGTTATATACTTATATATGCAGTTTATATAAATTTTTGAGTTTCTTCAAGACATTCCAAGACTAATTTTTTTTAGTATTTGGATTTTGTATATCCACACAATATATTCTAGCACGGGCTTTGTTCAGCGTTGCATAATTAGCATAAAATAATTTCAGGTACCGATAAATATAAAAATAAAAATTATGAAAATCAAAATACTATGGTTCAGTGGTAAACATTATATTCACATCTAAGTATGTTTTAAAAAATTATACATCGTGGTCTTCTAAATTTTTTTCATTAAATAATAAATATGTTTGTCAAGATTATCATGATTTGAAAAAAAAAAAAATTAAAAACAGAATCAAACCTTATCCTTGAAGATTTTATCATAAAAAAAGAAAAAAATATTTCTCATTTAACAAGAGATAAAGTTATCTCATACAAATTTCAAAGTGATATCATTTTCAAGTTACATGAGTGTTTCTTGTTATAATAGAAACATTGAGTTACAAAATAATATATTTTGTAACACTTTATCAAGTTAAATTTCTTTTTTTCAGATTAAAAATTATATATTAACAATATTCTGGATTTTTTATTTCATAACAATTATTTTGTATTTACTATTTTTTTAACTCATCACATATTAAATTCTGCAATAAACTTAAAAAAATTGAAGCAATAACTACACATGACGTGACTTTTCTCATTTGTTAACATCAGCAGCACCAAATAATATGTGAGACCCAACAATTAGCCTTTTACAAAATGTTTCTAATTAAGTCCAAATCAGTGCCATCATGCACCATTTCTTATATTCTTCCGTGCACTTAAACTTCTAAACTAGTTCGGTCGTTCACCTACACATTAATTTGAATCTGATTATTGTACCCTAAAGTTTGCATGGTCTTCCATGATTAGAATGGAGCAGGAGCTAGAGGTACTATACTAATCAAAATATATATATACATACAGAGAGAAGGTGAGATCATATAAAATGGGATATATTGACAATTTGACATTATGCATGAGAAAATCCATATCATTCGACTTTGCACAACCTAACCATTCAAATATCATAATTGTCGTGGGTTGACCTAACGCTTGTGTTCTAATGATAATTATAAATTTATAGTGCCATTTTTGAATAAGAGTCAATGACTCAAAAGTGTAGTTTGATTCAACAACCGGACTGATTCTAATTAGGTATTTTGGACTGCATGCAAAGGTCTATACCCTTTTATATTCAATTCATGCAGTTTAATGCAACTTAAATTTAGGACTATCATAAATTAAGCTACTAACAAGTCCAACTGGAAATTAAAGGGGAGAAATTTAATTCAAGATTTTAATAGAGTCAATCTTAAAACTTCGCATTTTTTTATTAACTAACATGATATTTTACCATGTTTATTGTTTTAAAAGGAAAAACATCTATCATTTTAAATGATATAATCTTATATCCTTTTAGATCCTAGTCGTTGATTTCCATCCATCAACGGTTATAATCTATTGGGTTAAAGTTAATGGGCCAAAATTATTATTAATTAATTAATAATTTTAATCCAATAAATTATAACCGTTAATGGACGGAAATCAACGGTTAAAATCTAAAAGGATATAAACTTATATCCTTTAAAATGACAGATGTTATTCCCTTTAAAACAGTCATAATATTTTCAAATATCTTATATCGCAGCTAATATTTTGATTTTCACTTTAGAATAAAGCTTTACATAACTAAGAAAATTATTTATTGTATGTTTGTATTAGTTTTACTTAATGGGGTTAGTAATAGAGGAAAATGATATCACGGAAAGCGTAAGAAGGAAATTGTCCCAAAGTCAAAAGGGGAAATTGTCCTGTTCGGATGAGGTCAACAGTTGTTCGGTTTCTTTTTGTTTTGTATCTGATCTATTCAATTCTTCCCTTGCCATGAATATATTCATATCCTTTTCTTAATGAAAAGTACTAGTAATTTTGAACAACATAAATATACAGATGTAATGGATTAATTGGTATAGGGTTATTTCAGCATAATTTTTTTTTTTTGGTAAAAATATCAGCATAATTAATTATCACAAGTTTGAGTTTTGGGCACATAACTGTGATTATACGTGAATTGACTAGATTAGTCGAATAATTGATAAAATGATCAATTATATATATATATATATATATATATATATATATATATATATATATATAGGGTCATGATCATTTTACACCAGTGTAAGTTATATTTTCAATCTTGATCATTGAACCCACTTATATGTAAATGCTCTAATTTTTTAGTAATGTGAGCCATTGGATACAAGGGGATCAATGTTCAAGATTGAGTGTAAGACTTCTAACTCTTACACTAGTGTAAGAATATCCTGTCCCATATATATATATATATATATATATATATATATATATATATATATATATATATATATATATATATATATATATATATATATATGAGGGCAGGATATTATTAACCGATGTAAGAATAAAATTTTTTACACTAAATCTGAATTATTGATTTACTTGCATCAAATAGCTCAAATATATAATAAATCAGAACCATTAAGGTTTTGGGTTGATAATAGGATAAATGAAGTGGATGGACCTATGAACCCAATGCCTTAAGATTTGGGGTTGAGACATGGTGTCGGATCCACTTGATATGTTGGTGTAGCCTTAGCCTATTAGTTGTGGTCCCCACCCACGAGCTCCTCTGGAACCCACTCTGATCCCAAAATATAGTACAGACAAGCTGGACGTAGCCTACAGTGGGTGAACCAGGGGAAACCGCTATGTTAATTTCTCTTTTCTATTTCGATTGTGTGTGTGTCGATTTCTAACATTTGGTATCAAGAGCTTTCTGCTACCGAGGTTCCTATGACAGAAGATTGGGGTTTCACGATTTGAGATTTTTTCTTGGCATAGAGAAAATTACAAAATTAATCTGGAAAAGATGTCAATTGGCCAAACACGGACCGAGGTCAAAAAGTTCGAAGGAAAGGGGTTCGAATTATGGAAACTGGAGATGGAGGCTTTGCTCATTGACAGAGAGGTGTGGTACGTGATCGAAGATGAGAAGCCATCGGTACCAATGAAAATTGTCGGTGATGGATTGTCAAAGGCAGGCGAGTCGAAGGAGTTGAAGGAATGAATTAGAGACGATCGAAAGGCGCGAACCCTGAATTGGTTATGCCTGACAAATAATGTTATGGTGAACGTGACTTCTGAGAAGACCGTGAAGGATCTCTGGACGAAGTTGGGAGGTCTCTATCAAAGCAAGTCACTTGTGAACAAGTTTGTGCAAAGGAGACTATATAATTTGTGGATGAGCGAAGGTGATTCTTTCTCTGCTCATTTAAATGAATTTAATATTATTTATGCGCAACTTACATCTGTAGATGTCAACCTCGATGAAGAAGACAAGGCTTGCACTTTACTGTGTTCCCTGCCTAACTCTTAGGAGCACATCATTGTTTCAATCGGTACTGGTGTTAATAAACTGTCGTTCGAGACAGTTGTTTCTTCTTTATTGTCTGAGGATATAAGAATGGTAGGTTCTAAATGTACCAGTAATGAGGCTCTGTTTGTTAGAGCTGGAGGAGTGGTGACAGATCAAAGTCTGGTTACAGAGAAAAATCAAGTGGAAGGTCAAAGTCCCATGATAAATATGAAGTAAGGTGCTGGAGGTGCAAACAGGTTGGACACTTGAGAAAGAATTTCAAAAACAAAAGCGTAGGTCTTGAGAAGTGGAATGATCAACCATCTTACGGTTCTGGTACAAATAAGAATGATGGAGACAGCGTAGTGCATCTATACATGGCATTTGACAATCATAGCGACTGCAACGAATTGATTATTGGTACTGAAGCATACTTTCATATGACACCTCATATAGAGTGGTTCTACACTTATGAATCGTATTTTGGCGATACGATCAGAATGAGAGATGGCACAACTCATGCTATTGTGGGATATAGGATGGTAAAACTGAAGATGAATGATGAGATAATCAAGAATCTGCCTGATGTAATGCATATTCCGGGCCTAACTAGAAATCAGATCTCCATTGGTAATATGGCAGATGCGACCGTAGAGGTATAAATGGGTCGGGCTGAGCTTTGCCTTAAACAGGTCAGACCTGTATAAAATACTTTAGGTCTGACTGTAGCATTCAAATTAAAATGATAATATAAAAATAATAAAATAAAAAATATATATACATAATAATAATTAATAAGTAAATATATATATATATATATAATATAAAAATAATAGTTCTGTTTCTTACATGTGAATCAAGTTTGTTATTTAATTGTTAAATTAATCCTATAATTCAATAACTTGTATCTATCATTCAGTTAAATCATTTATTTAATTAAATAAATATGTCTTTTTTTTGGTGAACTAAATAAATATGTCTTTACTTGTATATTTTAAAAACAAAAGGGTAGGTATAAACATATCAGCATATAAACGATTATTATAAACTTAAATTATGAGCCTGGTTCCAACTTTCTAGATTAACATATAATATAAATATTACATGTCATTCTTGTTATATATGTCATATAACAAGTTTTGGTATTTCTTAAGATTATTAATATGTGGGTGCACATGATAACCTTCCTGGAATCAATTCTTTTTTAATTTCCGTTCCCGGGAACAGAAATGGATAGGAAACTCGTTTGGTAAAATCGGTTTATTTTTTTGTTTCCGGGATGAACCGGTTTAATTTT